ACTGAGGATCTCGGGAATGAGGACCTTGTAAGGTCGGGCTGGAACTCTTGTGGCCGGAGTTGGGCAGAAGGACTGGCGGCGGTCTGTCCTCTAGGTTTTGAATTTCTGGGTCGATCCGGGCGAGGTCGTCCAATCGAGTTTTTCGAAATGTTCCCTACATTCTGTGCCTGCTGCTGACAAAGGGCTCAGAGGAGAGGGCATTTGCCTCAGAGGTGCATGTGGCACACCAAGCTCCTCTGGTGCCAGCCCCTATCCGGCTGCTCGTTTGCGGGCTCTGGTCTTTAATCTCTTCTGGTCTCGGAATGGAGGCTTGAGTTGCAACGAACTGTGAGTTCCTCGCGTTCTGCCGGTCATCCAGATAAGCGCTGTCTTTGCTGACGCGTGCCATATGCAGGCTGCTACGCTGACGGCCGCAAGCCAAAAGACAGCATGCGAGGCGGGTTACAAGTGAACGCTGCTCTTCCCAAAATCTGAAACCTACCAACCAGCTCGATCCATCGGGCTTCTCAGAGCTTGTGGTTCTGAATTTTGGATTCAAAAGTCTTGCCCAAAACGTCGGAATGTCAATCCGAATCCTAAACCCAAAGTCAACCTTAACCGACATGCCATGCCTCGTTGTTGAAGTTCCCCAGCAGCGAGTGCTTATTTCTACATTTTTACATGCAGAGAGTATCTGTCTTTCTGCCTGCCTAGTGCATGAATGCATGTGTATGTATGTATGCAGTGCATGCATGCATGGACGGATGGATTCATGCATGGTGGGACGAATGTGCATGTGGATCGAGAGGCGCAAGAATAGGCGCTATGATATTCCCAGCGGGATCGTCTGCAAGTCCCATCAAGGCACGAAGATGTGTTCTCGTGAAAGACCCGCAAAACCAAACGGCACTGTCGAGGCCACCTTGCCCCCGTGGCGTCTGGCATCCTGCAATATTGGAAGTCTTGGGGGGGCCGGGCGGAGGGGGGCGGAGGGGTGCAGGGGTCTATGACCTTTCTCGAGCTTCAGAACCAGCACTTGTTTGGGATTGTCGAGATTCAAAGCTGTTCGCGGCCTTGGTGCATGCGGGCTCGCTCTGCTTCAATTTGTCTCATCCTAAACCTTTTTTCAAGCCTTGTAGAAATCCTAGAGTGAAACATGAACATAAGTAAAAAAATGCTGAAACACTATCAAAACTCTGTAGTGAACTACATCCCGATGAAACCCCATGCGGGATATGACGGGCAAGTGCTGCGTGCTGGCGCCGGGCTGACGTATCCCCGAACCTCGCCTGTTGTTCCGGTCGCCTGTTCGTTTCCGAGAATGGGCCTTAACCTGTCCATGATATACCATGAACCCATGAATGCATTCATGCATGGATGCATGCGCGCACACACACATACGCACATACGTACAAGTCTACATCTGCGCAAATTCGCTGAACCTTGTGATGACGTGTTGGACGGAACTCTGTTTCTCGCTCGATGCAGATGAATCCCACACAGGAGTCACAGGAGCGGATTTCCTGAAGTATCGGGATCCGCGACTTCATGTAGATACAAAAACCGCATGCGCACAAGGTTTTGCTGATCTGGTGAGCTACAGGTACGCACCGAACAGAAGTTTGACACAACGGAGTCTGACTTCGGCGAAGAAACTGGATAGGTTTGAACAAGCTTTTGTTTGTCTCCTACGCAGTCTGCTATTGGCACAGCAACTCCGCAGGATCCAATGCTTGAATTTCGAGAAATCCACAGGCTGACCGAAGGCAACACCAGGCTTGTCATGCCCGGTTGCTCCATGCTGCATATGGCTTCAGAGGCCACTCGTGACACGCAAAACTCAAAGCTACAAAGCTCACGGTGCTCACAGCTCGTGCTCTTTCAAGTTCATGCCAACCTGAAGCCGTAATGAAAGCGCCGGCGGCCACAGCATATGCAGCATATGGGCAGGCCCCAGCACCCACCAGGTGCAACAGCTGAGCCATGGGCTCCCTTGAACAACTACTTAAGAAAATCTTGCAACATCAAGAGCTACTGGCCTATACTGTGGGGTCGGGGGTTTTTGCCAGTAGCTCGTACGAACATGCCTGATCCACGCGGAACCCACAACTGACGTGTACAGCAGCGTCGCACCGTAGGGATGTGTTCAAACAGGGTAAACCTGCCTTTAGGACTTCAAACCTTTCCGTGCGAGCATCTGAGTCTCGCAGCATTGGCAGGGCTCGAGGCAGCACAGAAACCGCCGAACTTAAAGTGCGTCTGCCAGAGGCGCGCATGCGACTGTACAGTTGCTGCAACTTCGCAGCTTCGTGAAAGACGAGCGCATCCAGATCAGTATTGACTGAGTATCTCTCGAAGGAAGCGCTGAAAAGGTCTGTGGTCGATCGTTGATCACAGCAGTGCTGTCAGAAAATGCTCGGTATGGGACTTCGCAGGGCTTAGACGGTTCATATTTGCCGGGTGAGAAAGAAAACTGGCGCAGACTCAGCTTGAGGATAACAAAACAAGCCTATGTTGTAGTGCTTGTTACCAAACAAACAAATCCTCAGGTGCCTTGCACTCACAGTGCCTTCCGATAGTACCACTTCGAACAACATCTAAGACCTGCTTCAAGAAGGAGTCGTAGCGGTGTCTGCAGGCGGTAGGGTTTTGCAGTCTATCGCGCCGTGCACAATTCCATCTCACGCCCAACGCCCCAACCCGAGACAAAAACAGTCTCTGCAGCGTTTTCCGGGGTGCAGCCTGCCAAACACCTCCAATGTCTAGACTCCAAATCCGCCTGTGCCAAGACTGCCAAGACCTGAGCACCAAAGCCCCAAATCCCAACTGTTTGAATTCGTGAAGATAACAAGATAGGGTATCCGAGCCTTGAACTTTTCCCTCCTACTTAGCACCTTGAAGGTTTCGGCGCTCACATGCTGATGAAGGTTTAGGTTCTGGGGCAATGCTTGCCCATGGCTAAGCTGTCCAAAGCCGCTCCCCCTGCATGCGCACCCGTCACGGCGCAGGCGACGCACAAAGGCTTATTCTTCAGGTTGCTCCACAGTGCCACAAGGATTCCCCTTGGAAAGGGAGGTGGCTGCCACTCCAAGGCCGCTCAACACAAACACAGATGGAGACAAACACCTTCATGTCGAACGATGACTGCTAACCCTACACTCAAGGACCGTGAAAAGATACTTCTTATCTTGCAGGGCCCGGTCGCCGAAGCTGCCTTGCAACTACTGCTAAATTATGCCAACCTGACAACACAGAACTCAGAAATTCTTACTCTAATGCTACCAGTACTGCGAGTACCACTAACAAACTGCTGCTGCTTCTGCTACCGCTACCGCATCTGCTGCTGCGACTGCTGGTGCTGCCGGGCCTGCTGCTCCTACGACTTCTGCCGCTAGCACTATTGCCACAGCCACTACCCCTACCACGACTACCTCTGCGGTTACTACGATTACGATTGCTACTACTACTACTACTACCACCACCACCACCACCACCACCAGCACCACCACTACTCCTGCTGCTGCTGCTGCCTACACCACGAAGACGACAACGACGACGACAACGACTGCTACTACTATTACTACTAACACTATTGGTACTACTAAGTTACTAGTGCCGCTAGTATTGTAATACTACCACTTCAAATTTTGACGACGACTACTACTGCTACTACTACTACTACTGCTGCTGCGGCTACTACTACTGCTACTGCTACTGCTACTGCTACTACTACTCCTACTACTACTCCTACTACTACTACTACTACTACTACTACTACTACTACTACTCCTACTACTCCTACTACTCCTACTACTCCTACTACTCCTACTCCTCCTACTCCTCCTACTCCTCCTACTCCGACTCCGACTCCGACTCCTACTACTACTCCTACAACTACAACAACTACAACTACAACTACTACTGCTACTACTACTGTTACTACTACTACTACTACTACTACTACTACTACTACTACTACTACTACTCCTACTGCTGCTGCTACTTGCTACTCCTACAGTACTCCTACTCCGACTCCTACAACAACAACTACTACTACTACTGCTACTACTACTCCTACTACTGCTCCTACTCCTACTCCTACTCCTACTCCTACTCCTACTCCTACTCCTACTCCTACTCCTACCCCTACCCCTACCCCTACTACTACTACTACTACTACTACTACTACTACTACTACTACTACTACTACTACTACTACTACTACTACTACTACTACTACTACTACTACTACTACTACTACTACTACTCTACTACTACTACAACTACAACTACAACTACAACTACTACTACTGCTACTACCGCTAAACTACTACTACTGCTGCTACTACTACTACTGCTACTGCTACCACTGGATGTAGGTCTGGCATGATTCCGACCCGGCACTCGGCAAATCTGGCTTGGCGTTGACTCAGTGTTGCCGGTTCGACTTGGATTCGAGGGTCATTGTATGCGTCCGAGTTTTGTTTTGGCTTGGGTCTAGTATTCTGATCGGCTTTTGCCTACTGCTGCAAACATGAATGCTTGCAGCAGCTTGCTAGACCCAACACCTCCGTACATAGCATCAAAGTTTTGGTCGCTGCTAGCTGGTTTCAAGGCCGTACCCGATACCCTTAAGTCTCTAGGATTTAGCACAGCCCCGAGCCCGTGCGGCGGCGCACCTCTCTGCGGCATACCCGGGCGTTTGCTCACATCAAGGGCCGGACAGGCATGTCTCTCACCTGCGTGCGGCGGAAGTACTCGTTCATCCTTGCCAGATCGAGGATGCCAGCTTTGCTAGCTTCAGCGACTCTCAAATTATAAACGCAGGATAGGGCCGGTAGGGTCGAAGCTGTTGCTTGTGTTCTAGTGGTTCCATTTTCGATGCGACCCCTCTACAATGGGAGAATATGAGAGACTGTCTGCCCTTCCCTTTAAAGCAAGCAGGGGGAGATGCTCTACGGTCGGGATTCCGGTATGAGACCGTCTCAGAGTCTGTAGGCAAAAGCAAAAGGAACTTCTGCTCAAGACTGTCCAGGCAACGCCTCCAGGCCTTGCAGCTTTGCACGGGCGACTTCTACTTGCTTAGTGCTCCGGCGGCCAGGGAAACGGTAACCGCATATGGCATTTTTGAAGTGCTCGGCAGTTCCCAGCACCCGGAAATTGATAAAAGCGTAGCCGATTCCCTGGCGATGGCGCCGATTCATGGGGAGGTAGAACAAGTTGTACATGCCCTTGAAGCCCAAGGAATCGACGGCACGAAGCACCTCGCTTGCGTCGCAGCGGCAAGGGATGTTCTTGATCATGACAGTGTGGACCGATGCCAAATCCCCGCTCTTTTCGGTCCAGGGTGCCACTCGCGGCGAGTCTGTCATGCTTTCTTCACTGCATGTGCTCATCGCGCCCAGTGTGCTGTGCTGGGTTGTCTGCCTGTCGAATTCCTCATTCGGCGCATCGAGCCACTGGCGGTCTGTGCTCACGGTGCTGTTGCTGATCTCGTGGGAGATCGGCTTTCCTGCTTCCTCTTCTTCTTCGTCTTCACTGTCTTCGCCTGAGCCGCAGCCCAAAAGTCTTTTGAACTCCGTTTGGTGCAGGCAGCCATTCTACTATGCCCCAGAAACGACCGGATGTCAAATTCAGATTAGAATCCGGCACTCTCTCCTAGCCAAATCAGCGAAGCAAACCTCAATCTTATCGCCTACGGTTCACATCTCGCTGGGATTCTTTCGCAGAGCCTGTCTTGCCTGGCCTTCGAGAAAGCCCTCATACTTTAGCAAAGCCACCACCTGGTCGCAGTCCAGTTGAACGTGGTGGAGCGCTCTGTGCCCGCCGACGGGCTGGTTCTGTGCCGATGACGTGAACGCGCACCTCCAGACTTCATTGTCTAGGGTTGGGGGTCAGGTTTTTGGGGGTCAGGTTTGAGGTTTAGACTTTAGAGTCTAGTGCTTGCGACCTTGAATGTGCTGCCGGATTTGGGGATGGCCGGCTTAAGTGCACTGTATTGCCACGTAGGCTCCTATTCTTACCAAACGGCTGAACCCATCAACGCTTCAAGCACTGCGTCGAGGTTTCGGCAGTACATGTATACTAATATCAAGAAGGCCACTGGCCTTCCGCATGATTCCGCGCTAGGATAGGGCAGTGTAAGGACAGCCTCTTGCAGAGCAGAGCGGATCCCCCATAAGCAGCGAGTGAAACAAACGAAAGTTAGCAGCCATAACCAGCCAAACTGTGCTGTCAACAGATACGTACCATTGGGGGATAGCTACTATTACATACTATTACGTGTACTCAGACGGCCGTGGCACATCCAGAAAGCCATTCCGAGTAGCCAGCTCTGCTGTGCCATCGTAGAAAACCATCTGCAGCGGTTCCGGGGCCATGATGCTGCTAGTGTCCGTGGTTCTGGATTTGGAGCCTGCTCGGCACGAACCTTGGACCGGACCTGTGAGCTTTGAGCACAAATTCTCGGCGTGCCCCCTGCAATCCAAGAATCTTCGGTAGACTCAAGGACGAAGATCTGGGTTTTGAACAACCTACCAATACCTTCTTTACCAGAACTCTGACATCCCCTGACCCTGGCCACTGACCTTCAGACCTCCGTCAAATCCTCTACAGACGGCAAACCCCCGAACGTTGTCGAAAGCGGGCACGACCTGAAGCCGGGAGCTCTTGGCAGAAGGGCTAGCTGGAAGGTTATGGAATCTGAAACTGCAGGGCCGTGCTTCAAGTGAGAGCTGCATCCACGAGCCCACGAGCTGACGTTTTGTCAAACCATGGCAAACTTTGGAGCTGACATTGCAGAGATACAATCGAGATCCTAAGCTGAAATGTCTCCGAAGCTTGCAAGTTGGCTCTGCAGCGCCCTAATCAAGATTCCATGAGAAGCTGCTTAAGGTGAAGACCTCCTTTACCCTCCGCAGAGAAGGCGATTGCATGGGTCAATAAACCTCTGGTACGGGGAAGATCCGCAAGCAGAGAAGTAATTACACGATGCAGCAGAATATGAGAACTGTTGTCTTCAGTTTGCATCGTATTCCAATCTGATGATTCTGGCCGAGTCCTCTTCGGCAGCGGCACCATGATGCGCTGTCGTGGCGGCCTTGAATAAATTGATCTCCGCAAACCTAACCTGCTGTACCAACTGCCAAAGCCCATCCACCAGAACCCTGTACAACACTGTGCAACCAAAAGAGGCAGCACTAAGGCCCCGAAAACTAAAGAGGGTAGTACAGTAGCTATCCAGCTTCTGATGGTCTTTCTGGGCCTGTCTGTCTCCCCGACGGCACCAAATACAAGCCTGCAGCTGAATCCCGAACAAACCGGCATGCTGGTTCATGAGCCAGCAAACAATAGGTTTCAATGTCACCAACGCAGCCCCACAAAAAAACAGACTATTCTCAAAGCCGCACCACTGAAGCAAATATTTGACTGAGTCAGCGCCAATCCGCACACACCCACACACCCGCGCCCTGCTCTTCGAGGTGTACCTGCTCGTGGGCACTCGAATTACCCATCCCACACCGAGCCACCCCCACCCTCACCCACCACGTACATATGTTTCCTATGGCCACCATGTTGAGCATAAGCTGAACACGCACTAACAAGTGCAGGAACGGTAGAGCAAAATTGATATCCCCAAGTGGCTGGATCACTGTGCGGGTGGGCGACGGAGAACCGACCTGGGAAATAGGCTATCGGAAGTGGACGTCACGTGGGGTTTCGGTTGTGTTTTCAAGTTGTGGGTTGGAGCTTTGTGGGGGAACTTGCAGGGTAACTCACTGACTCGTCTTTTACTGCATAGCTGGGGAGCTCGGCACAATAGGTTCCGAGTTTCGGAGTGCTCTCTTGTGTCACACCGCCATGCATTGAGAGCCACGGGGTTCTGGCACAACTCTTGCCACCAAAAGACTAGGCTTAAGCTTGTCCCCACTCCTGTGCCCCAATGCTGCGAGATATTGCGGGCAATATGACCAGATGACTAGAAAGGGCTTCTCGCACACAATGACCGCAGTGTGCAGGACGGCATGTTCTCCGCCTGAATGGCAAGCAATGTGGCATTATGGACTTCCGAAGTAGCAGCAGGAACAAACAAACCAAGCTTACTCGGACTTGCCATGTGCGCATAGCTTGCTGGGTTGCCCCCCCCAACTTGTAACGCAAGAAACCTTTGTAGAATCTCCAGTCTCCAGGAGCAAATGATTTCATGTGAAATCCTGGAGACTAGTTCGGCTCTACTCCAAACGCTCCGTTGGCCGGCACATTCACATCGTGCATCTTTCAGGAGTACCATGGATACTCTAACCAAGGATGCATTGGCCGCGTGGACTATTAGGCAGGGATGTTGTAACGAACGACCAGATGCACTGGTGCCGTGATGGCACATGGATGCTGCACACAAATAGAAGCATTCTTGCGGACGGCTTCGGGTTGAGGATCTATGAACTGCTGACACCCTCAGCCATCTGGTGTGAATTCGGCCGCTTGCTCGAGGCCGAGACCAGTCGAGCAAAAGGAAATTCGCAGGGCCTCTGTGCGTAGGCTTTTCATGACGACGTCCACCGGCTTGTTGCGTTGTTCTGTGACAATTGACCAGGCCCCTGTAGGTCTCATCATCGGACTATCAAGCTTTGGGGAAGGGTATGACGGTATGCCACAGGTTCTGTGTCAGTTGAGGGATGGGTTCATGTTTTCCTATGGACTGCACACAGGGTCAGGAGGGGACGAGTGGCTTGCTGAGCACAAGAACAACTTCAGACGTTGCTGTTGCCGTTAGCCTGAAATGTGAAGGTTGAACCCCTAGGCATATTGCCGAAACACAAGCTTGACGCCCCGAGGAGCCTAAGGATCAAGCAAGACCCCAATACCTAAACCGCAAACTCCAAACCTGAAAACACATCTGCCCCTGCAGAAATTTCAAAACCCACCTCGGAGATCGACCTCGCGCCACATTGGCCACCTGGGATTTTCCGAAAATAGGGGACCTTAATATAGTACCCTAAATAGTAGGATCCTTATTACAAGGACCCCATAATAAGGTACCCTAATTTTCGGAAACTCCCACCTGAGTCTCGAAAGAACCGACGGAAGCTGACGTGGGAGTCTGCGCAAGAGAGTACCCCTCAATGAGTTAGCAGAAACCTTGCCCATTTTGGGTAATAATACCACCAGTCACCCCATTAGACGATAATTCCTATACTCTCCCCCTACACCTCACCAACTATATCACTACTACTACCCTATTGCCAAGACCAGTACGTATGTAGGATGCTTTGGGTTTGTTTGGGTCTAGCCTCTTCGCTAAGACTGTATAAAGTATTGGATATTTGCGCTTCCAATTCCCCTATATTGCAGAAAAAGGAAAAGGTGCGATGTATTTTTTACAAGCTTTAGACTTTCTTTTGCGCTGAAAGAATTGAAAAAATTGAAAATCTTGAGTTTTTTGTCAGCCAGGAATTTTCAATTTTTCCTTTAAGCAAACATTGTATGGAGTGGTGCTGATTTTCAATGTTCATCAGCAACGAAGGAAACTTTAAACGGTAGTGACTATGACTTAGATATCTGAAATGGAGACACTGACAGAGCAATTGTTTTTCTCATAGGAACTATGGGAAGCACACCAGAAATTCAACTAACAGAAGGGAAAATGAATTTCTTAGGAAACGTGGAAATAACACACGATGATATAACAGGACAGCAAGGAGTATTAATACATAATCCAGATGACAACGGATGGATAAGATTAAGTAATACAGTAATAACTTAGCAACATTGGACTCAACAGCAACAACAACAAGTGTTGATGTTTATGGCAACCTTTCATACACAGGGTCGTTAATTCCTTCATCGGATAAAAGATTAAAGAACGATATAAAAGAAGTAAATAGTAAAACACAGTAGAGTTAGTACAATATATTAAGCCGAAAACATATCATTTTTCGATGATAGACAACAAGGTAAATCGTGTACTGCAGAATGTAATATAATGGCCGGAAAAGGTGGATATTTAAAATTTGATTATACGACGTGTGTGCCAATTTTATGGTGTGCTTTATAGGCAACAATGAATGAAGTAGATAAGCTGAACAAGGAAGTAATTAAGTTAAAGAAAAATAAGAGTGATAGTGATTAGCTGTATTGTTAGTTGAAAGACTATTATGTATCACCTTTTTCAAAACGCTGTTCAAAATTTATGGAAGTCTATTGCCACGTGTTCTATAACATGCTTTAAAGCAAATGCATTCTTTCCTTTTCTGTGTCCACTTTCACTACGTCTGAAATGTATTTCTTGGCTGCTCTCCATGTGTCATCCACATGCACACTAGGGCTGAAAATGTATATTTCTGAATATCTTCAGCATAGATTTTGTACTAAAACAAGATTTGCCACCTGTTGAAGAAGCAACAAATAACATTCTTGCAGGCAGACTTGGCATCATTTCATAGTTCCTTTTAAAACTTACTTTCTACATTGTTCTGACAGCGACCCCATTTTCAGGTATTGCCCCCGTGATTGCGCCTCATGCATTGACTTCATGAAACAGTTAGTATGTGTATAATTCATAAGCACGACACAAGATTGTGGAAATGCTTAATCAGTTTGAAACCATGCTCATCATAATTAGTTGACTATGATAAATATTGCAAAAATGATATAATCTGACAATATGTGTTGATAAGATAACCATGGAACCCAATACTGAGTATCACCCGACACATTGTGAAAGGAAGTGTGTTAGATGTAGAGAGGTTAAAGATCTAGTATGTTTTAAGAGATACTACTAGTGCAAAGTGGGTAGGTATCTAATGCAGTGCAGAACCGCTGTTACTTGTTGTGAATGTTTAGGTCGCATGACAAATACAGTGATATTCGAAAGGAAATGAGTTTCATTGATATGCGGAAAATGGCTTAAAAGGATAGTGCCCTTTATGCGTAACATGGATGGTTCAAGAGTTAAATGCACAAGGTGTCGCAGTAAAAAAGACAGCTGAAGAATTCGGATAGAGTAAGAATAAGAATCTATTTACAAATTGCATTCAATGCAGAGATAAGAGGAAACAGTATAGTCAGAAATGCAAAAAGGGTGACAAGTTGATAATGTGTTTCATCATAGATGGCAATTACTGCTCAAGGATGGGTTTCTTGAGAATTATTTTATGACATTTTGTCAGCAGGATAACAAGGTAATCATTGAAACTCCCATGAACAATGAGGTAAAGGATCTCAATCGCAAGCAATCAGGACAAACCAGTGAAAACAGCTCGCTTGCCAAACTGTATCGGGCAATGCATTCATAAGTATAGTATAAAAGTACGTTATACGAATTTACGACATATGAGCTCATTATGACTACAACAGAGAAACCAAACCTAGTAAAATCCAT